CTCTTAGTGGCTGGAAACGTTGAAGTCATTTTAGACTTTTCTCTCTTTAATAAGCTCCACATCTATTATACTTTGTCACTTAGTTCTCTAGGTCCACAATGTGTTACAAATTGGGCCTCTTTTCCATTCCTTTTGCCTTTCCAGGTAAGGCCCTCAACACTCTTGACCAAATTCATAATGTGTTTTTATTCCTCAACTCCTATATACTGTAATCAAAGTTCATATTTTAGCACTCATATTTACTTGATGGCCATTAGCACTCATTTTTTCCCCTGATCTTTGTAAGCTCTTACTAGGAGGCAGAAAATATTTTTAACTCATCTTTGTATTTCTATTTCCTTTCACAGATCCTGCACACAATCAAAATTATAAATATTGAACTGAATTGAGTGATTCTTTAAACTACCAAAAATGTCTTCCTCGTATTATACCAATTTTTCTACTTTAAATGTTATATTTTAAATATTTCTACATTCTTTTTTATTTAGGTTCCTTTGTTAAGCTTTATTGAGGCATAGTTAACTCTGTGGCTGGCATTCTCGAGAGCTACTTAAAATATGTCCTTTTTTTCATTCAGTTAGTGTATAAAAAATTGAAATCATAATAATTTCCTTTCACTCAGAACTTGCATTTTACTTTTTACAGGTGAACTTTTTACAGGAAAAAGCTTATTAACTTATATATTTGAATATGTCAGTCTGAATTATGTATACCATACCTTTTGACCTTGTAGAAAAGTAGTAGTTTACTCTCTAGGGACTATGTGATTTTTAAAGATATTTCTGAAGAACAGATGAAAGATGGGTTTTTAGTACCCGTTGGTACGACATTGCTTTTATTAGGAATGTACTTTTATGCCCTATAATTAATTCTGACTCTCTTTGAAAAGGGATATGATTATATTGTAATATCAAATTCAGTGACTAGATAGAATTTATTATGATTTCTTTTCCAGCAAAGAAGTAGTTTATTTTAACACAGTGACTGTGTATGACTCCCAAGATAGAAAATGAATGAAATGAATGTAAATTCAGTCATTTGGAAAAGTGAGAAATTGTTGATACCTTTAATAAGTGGAGCCATCGAGGCAATATATAATGGATCATATGCATTAGTATTATTTCAACTCTCAATTTTACATTTGATTAGATCATTGCTGACTGCTTTCATATGCTTTGATTCTTTTACACCAGTGTTTTTGTTGTATTTGACTTTATTTTGCTCTTATTGATGTTTCATTGCTTCTATTGATCTGTCTTAAGATTTACTAGCTAATTCTGCCTTTTCCAATCTGTTATTAAGCCCATTCAATGAATTTTTATTTATTATTGTATTTTTAAGGTGTAGAATTTTCATTTGCTTTTTTTTATAATTTCCACTTCTCTTTTGAGATTCCCCAAGTTCATTAATGAAGTCACATGTTTTAAAATTATTTAAATATAAGAGCTATTTTAAGGTCTTTGTTAATTCTAACAGCTGGGCCCTTTCTAGATTTGTTTCTATCGACTACCTTTTTTCCCTGATTATGGGCCACATTTTTCTAATAATTTTTATTTTATTTGGACATTATCATTGGTACATTATAGTGATTATGGATTCTATTATTCTCTGAAGAATTTCGATTTTTGTGGGTTTTGCTGTTGCTTTTTGTTTTTTTGGGGAAATCAGTTAGTAGTCAATTATCCTAAACTTATATGGGCATGGCTTAACAATTTGTTAGGGGAGCTATGGGAAAACCTCAAAGTATACAATCCTTAAACTGTTATCTCCCTGTGGTTCTTGTCAGGGTTTAGTTTAAGTCTTTTGTCAGGCTGGTTTATAATTGACATTGCTCTAAATTATGGTCTGTATTCTTAACATAATACCTGGCCATATGTATTATATATGTCTGTGTGTGTATATGTTATTTAAAAATATATATATATGCAAAATATTCATATAAAAACATATACATGTTTTTAATAATCAAATATTTATCTCAGAGTAAATGTAATATGTTAAATTGATCCATTTGGTGGACATTTATATTGTTTCCTATTTTTCTTCAGTTCAAACAAAGATGCAATGAATATCTTTGTATGTATTAGCTGTCTTTTCTTGTGAAAAAATATAAGCGCATTTGGTAAATATTTGTCAGTATTGTACGAATAAAAACAATGGGATTATTAAATTTATATTTCTTTATTACTAGTAAAAGTAAGCATATTTTCATGTGGGTTACCAGCCATTTATCATTCATTTTTTGATGACCTGCTTTCTCACAGACATTACTCACTTTTCTCTTTGGTAAGAAGCTCAGATTTTATTATTGGTGATGTGTATGAGCTCATTGTATGTTTGATGACAAAACCTTCCTCTAGTTTTTAATTTGCCTTTCAATGATGGTACAGAATCATTGATTGGCTGCCTCCTACACACCCCTACTGGGGATCATGCCTGCAACCTGGCATGTGCCCTTGATTAGAATCGAACCTGGGATCCCTCAGCTCTATCCACTGAGCCAAACTGTTTTGGGCTGAAAGATTTTTAATCATGAGGTGAGAGGTCCAGCTTTCATATACCTGTTGGCCATTTGTATGTTTTTGAATTTTGGATATAAACCTCTTATTAGACATATGATCTGTAAATATTTTCTCAGGTTCTCTAGGTTGTGTCTTCATATTGTTGACTAGTGTCCGGTACATGGATTTGTGCACATTGAAAGGAAATTAATTAAAAGAAATATTTTAATATCATTATTTGTGTCTTGCTAATGAAAAGAAAATAGAATTCTACCGAGTCTCCTATCTACCTACTGCAGGGCTTCTGTGAAGGTCAAATGAGATGAGGCATGGGAAAATGCTTCACAAACATTTGATTGAACTGTAAAATGTTTGCACCTGCCTATAAAGCAAGTTGGGTTCCTGGGCTGAAGAAACTCCAAGGATGCTAGTCACTAGGAGAGGAAGCTGGGCATTGCTACATGACATCATTACCCAGTGCCCACAGCCATCGTTTCCAGGCTGGGCTGTGAGCTGCATTTTGTGTGATGGGGTCTTGGCACCAGTGGCTGCAATTTGGTATCACTCTGGGGTGGTCGCGGGGCCCGTGTCCCACTTGGGGGAAGCCAAGTGTTTGTCAGTGCCATGTCTGTGGTGCTGTTTGTTTTTAAATGGCCAGTGCACATCATGGTAGCTTCTGCATTGAGTGTTTGTCCCCTTGTGGTCATTGAGCATCATAGCTACCAGTCGAACAGACGGACCCTTAGCCTTTTATACATATAGATTGTTTTATTGTGCAGAAGTGTTTTAGTTTGATGCAGTTCCACTTGTTTGCTTTTGCTGCCTGTGTTTTTGGATGTCATATCCAAAAACCTTTGTCAGGACCAAAGTCAAGGAACTTCCCATTTTCTTCTAGGTCTTTTATGATCTCTGGTCATACATTTAAGTCTTTCATTCATTTTGAGTTGACTTTAATGTATAGTGTAAGATAAGGATTCAGTTTTAATATTTTGCATGTGCATATCTATTTTCAATCACCATTTTCAATCACATTTCCTGAAGATACTCTCAATTCTTAATTTCATTGATTTTTAAAATTGTATTTTCTAATCTATATTTCACTTGTTTCTGCTCTCATCTTAATTGTTTCCTTCTGCTAACTTTGAGATTAGTTTGTCTTTTATCAGTTTCTTAAGGTCTAAAGTTAGGTGTGTGTGTTGTTGTTTTTTAATGTAGGTGTTTATTGCTTTAAACTTCTTGTTAGAACTACTTTTGCTGTATTCCATTGTTTTGGTTTCCATTTTTATTTTTACCAAGATATTGATTTTCTTTTGATTTCTTCTTTGACGCATTGGTTATTCAGGTGTGTTAATTTCCATGTGTTTGTGAATATTCCAATTTTCCTTGTGTTATTGATTTCTGATTTCATGCTCTGTGGTTGAAAAGGATACTTAATGTGATTTCAGTCTTCTTAAAGATCTTAAGACTAATTTTGTGATCCAACATATAATCTGTCCTGGAAAATGTTCCATGTGCACTTGAGAAGATTGTGTATTCTGCTGCTGTTGATTTAAGCCAAATTGTAACAATAGCCCTGTAAGTGTGAGTGGTTTAAACATCCCAATTAAAAAGCAGAGATTATCAGAGTAGATAAACATAAAAGAATGGGCTGAGACCAGTTTGGCTCAATGGATAGAGCGTCGGCTTGGGGACTGAAGGGACCCGGGTTCTATTCCGGTCAAGGGCATGTACCTTAGTTGCAGGCATATCCCCAGTAGTGGGTGTGCAAGAGGCAGCTGATCGATGACTCTCTCTCATCGATGTTTCTAACTCTCTATCTCTCTCACTTCCTCTCTGTACAAAATCAATAAAATATATTTTAAAAAAAATGAACTACTGATGAATGAATTCCAAAATCATTATGCTAAATGAAAAAAGGCAGGCACAATTACATACTCTATATGGTATTTACATGGAATTCTAGAAAAGACATGACAGCAGATCTTTGGTTAATAGGGTCAGTAGTGAAGGAGATTAACTGAAAAAGGGATAGAAGTTTTTGGGTGCTAAAAATATTTTACATTCTGATTATGATTATATGACTAATCATTTATCAAAACTTATCTCCCTGTACATTGGAAGTTTGTGAATTTTGTTGTATGTGCATTATTTCTCAATGCAATAGGTATCACATGGAACTTATTATGTACATATGTAGGAACTTGGGGAATGTAAGGGTGAATAGATGACTTGGGTGATGAACACACAATGTAATAAACAGATGATGGATTATACACTTGTACACCTGAAATCTATGTAAATTTTATTAACCAATGTCACCCAATAAATTCCATTTAAAAAGTAAAATTAAAAAAAAAATGTTTTAAATAAACTGAAACAAATTTAGCACAGAAAAACAAAATCTCTCTACCCTATTAAAATGATGTTTGAAATGTTGGAAGTTAATATGATTTTTTTTAAAATTACCGGCTACATTTTAATATATTTTTCAATTATTAGGTTGAACTAAAGCGCCAATATAATGACCAGCATTCAAAATTGAGAGGTCTTTTACCTGGTCGTCAATGGTATGAAATTCAAGCATACAGGGCCTTAAATCAGGCCCTAGGTAGGTAAGTGGAATAAAATTTAATGTAATGTTACTTTAATATTATCTGTGCGCAGGGCTCTATGTTGAATTAGTTTTATAAGAAATTTGGTAATATTTTATTTCACAAGAACTCTAGTTACTTGTACATTTTCAGTGATAGATGTCACAATTGAAAGTTGCAAAGAATCATTGGAATAAATGAAACTCAAAATTCACTTTGCTAAAGTTTAAAGAAGATTTTTGGTTGTTCAAACAATGAGTGACACAACTTTATAGAAGTTTACTACCAAACAATAAAATTTTTGCCTTAATGACCATCAGACTCAGATGATGATTTAAAAAAAATTTATCTCTTTATTGATTTCAGAGAGGAAGGGAGAGGAGAGAGAGAGACAGACAGACAGACAGACAGACATCAATGATAGAGAATTATTTACCAGCTGCTTCTTGCATACCCCACAGTGGGGATCGAGTCCACAACCCAGGCATGTGCCTTGAGTAGGAATCAAACTGTGACCTCCTAGTTCATAGGTTGATGCTCAGCCACGGAGCCACACTAGCCACGCTCAGATGATGATTTTAGGCGTAAACAGCAAACCATTTAAGAATGGTCAAACCAAACCATGCTCATGATAGCAAAGAATTAACACAAACTGACAATAAAATTTAACTATAATACTCCTTTTTCTAAGGATTCTGGTTTTTTAAGATTTGTGCTTTGTGGAATTAGTTTTTAAATCACCATTTTGTATTGTAATTTCATATTGTGAGGCAATAACATTTAATGTACTTTTTTCTCCAACTGAAATTATTTATTCTATAAGAAACCTTAGTATTTTATACATTATTTCTGTTGTAGCATATATCTCATTGTATTATATTAGCTGTTTCCTTCCCTAAGCATGTATTTTCATAAATCATATCTCAGCTTGGGGCATAGATGGTTAATTAACATTCATTGAATTAGTGGAAAATGCTAGGTTCAGTGCTTTTTTTCATTATACCATATTGGTCAGAGAGCTTCAAGAGCCTCAAAAACCTACTTTTCTAGAATTAATAAAAAGGATGTATTTGTAATATATATATATATGCATGCCTAAGTGACTGGCCAACTGGCCAACCGTCTGAGTGGCCTGTAGCTGTGATGCGCACTGACCACCAGGGGGCAGATGCTCAACACAAAAGTGGAAACCACAGGCATGGTAACATGGAACAGACTGATGAATCTCAGAGGGAAGGGAGGGCGGGAAGAGATTAATCAAAGATCTTATATGCATACTAGAGGCCCAGTGCACGGATTTGTGTACCAGTGGGGTTCCTCGGCCTGGTCTGTGGGGATTGGCTGAAATCGGCCTGGTGCATGGATTCATGCACCGTTGGGGTCCCTCAGCCTGGCCTGTGGGAATTGGGCTGAAACTAGCTCTTCAACATCCCTCAAGGGTTCACGGATTGCGAGAGGGTACAGGCCAGGCCAAGGGACCCCACTGGTACATGAATCTGTGCACTGGGCCTCTAATATTTATATATACTGTAGTTAGAGTATTTTATTAATTAAAAAATGGGTAACATAACTGTCATTGATTTTTAAGGGCAACAGTAACAAAAGTAACAACTAATAGAAACATGTTCATTTAAAAACCAAATAAATATTTTACATAATTTGACAATACTCATAATGTGTATTGATTGACATAAAAGGTGCTTATCCTTAGGCACTGTCCTTAAAGGGATATGTCTAGAGTGTTTAAAGTAAATAGAAACAAATTGTGTTAAAAAGTGCTATCTTTTTTTAAGGCCACATGAGTATTGAAGTAATATAAGTCCTTGAAATGTAATAACAGCTTTCAGGAATGTACCATATGGTTTTGTGACCAGGTTATAACTGCACTATGAGTTTCCTAACAGGTCTGCTTTACTAAAAGTATCTTTGTCTAAAGTGGGCGTAATTCATTTGAGCAAGGCAGTATGAAAACAATGGGAAAATGAAAAGGTGAAACCTGTTTTTCTGAACTGTTTTGTTAAGTTAAATGCCTTTCTTTCATTGGGCACTTTAAATATAAACTGTAGTGGAACCAAAACAGAGTGCCAGCCTGACTTCTATTGATTTTCGACACTGTCCTATAATGTTGGCAATATCCATCTTCCCATTCTGCCCAATTTTATGGTCTGATGCCTCGGAACGCATGGATAACAAAACTTTTGATCAAAAAAGGATGTCATATAAGATTTAGATTTTTTTAAGTCTCTGTGGAAAAATCAAACATTTATATTAATCTTCACCCTTTCTCAAAATCCCACGGTAGTAAAAGAATAAAAATGCCAAACCTACAAAATTAAAAAGGAGCTGCAGAGGGGACAATGACAGACAAGATGTCAGCAAATTCTGAACACTGGAAAACAGATGAATGATTGAATGACTTAACAAGGCAAGAGAGAACTGAAGTTTAAATCCATAGTTCTGAAAGCTAAGATTCAGTCATGGAAAAGCTTAGGACGTGGGGTCACTCTAAAGTTTCAGTTAACGTAAGGTTAAACACAAGAGGATTGGTTGCAAGTTAGTATAAAAAATAGTTTGATAGCTCCCTCTCCCATTCATGTTTACTCTCTAGAGCAATTAAACTAGAGTCTATATATTCTTCAAATCCTGGTTACAGCTAAGGATGTATTAATGATGGGGTTTAAGAAAAGTCTACCTACTGAATGTCAGCACTCCATCTCCTTTTTCTTGTAAGTTCTGAGTAAGCTGACAATGTTATCGATATATCTACATCTCAGGAAAGTACAACATTTCTCTTCCAGGAAACTGACCACTCCATGAGTAAGGGTCTGACAAAGTGGTCCTGCTCCTACCAGATTACCTTATTATGAAGCCTCTTGGCCTATAAGATTACAAAACTGCCAAGAATTAGTGCCTTACCCTTAAGAAGTACCAAGAGTCTTTAGATATTCAAAGAATATCTATATCATGAGATATAGAAACCAAAACAATAGCAAAATAATACCAACAAAACAGGGTGGAAGAACTCATAGAAAACAGAAACAGTGCAATAGAACAGTGGTTAACACACCTTTTACATAGAGAGACAGTATATATTTTAGGCTTTTCATGCCATATGTTTTGCAACCAAATTCTTGTTTTTTATTTTCTTTTACCCTTTAAAAATGTAAAAACCACTTCTACCTTGCAGACTGCACAAAAACAAGATGTGGGCCAGATTTTCCCTGTGGTTCATAGTTTGCTAAACTCTGGATGGAAGAAAGCTTTTAAAAAAATAAGTATCAGTAATATTTATAGAGAGGTAAGCTAAGTGCCTTAAAAAAGGAAGAACAGAAAAGAAGAAAAAGCTCCTGGACATTAACATTATAGCAACAAATTTCAAATGAAGAATTGGGCTTAGAAAATAAAATAGAAATTTTCCAGATAAAAAAGACAGGGAAAATAGGAAAGAACTTAAAAAAAAAAAAAAAAAAAAAAAAAAAGATCATTTGTAAGAACCAACTTATAATCCATATTAAAAAACTAGAGAAAATAGGGGAAAGAAACATAGCAAAGAAAGAATTTTCAGAAAAATGCTCAAAATTAGAGGGCATAATTTTCTGATTGAAAGGGCTCTCAATTAACTAATTAAACTGATTATTTTTTTATCCTACTCAGTTATACTTTTCAACTCCAAAATTTCCAATGGGTTCTTTCTTTAAAAGTGCACAACTCCACTCCTAGTTATATACCCAAGATAATAAAAATTTTGTATACATACCAAAACCTGTACACAAATGTTATAGCACTATTGTTTATAATTGTCTGAAGATGGAAACAACCTAAATGCCCGTTAACAAAATGTGGTATATCCATACAGTGGAATATTATTCAGCCACAAAAAGGATCAAAGTACCGATATGCAATACAAGTAACCTTGAAAACATGCTAACTGAAAGAAGCCAGGCACAAAATGCTGAATATTGTATGACTCCAGTTATAGGAAATGCCCAAAATAGGCAAATTTGTAAAGACAGAAAATAGATTAGAGGTTGCCATGGTTTAAGGAGAATCATTGGGATAACTGGGAGTGACTAATAATGGGCACTGGGATTTTTTTGGTGAAATAAGAATGTTGTATAATAGTGGTATGGGTTGTAAATGCACTAAAAACCACTGAATTGTATGTTTAAATTTAATATTTTTAGCAAATCAAATCCAGCAATCTATAGAAAGAATAATGCATCATGACCATATGTGATTATCCTGTGAATGAAAGGCAGGTTCAATATTCAAAATTTTGCCAATATTATCTACCACATTAATAATCTGAAGAAGAAAAACTACATGAGCATATAAATTGGTGCATATAAAAGATTTTTATAAAATTAAACATTCACTTATAAAAACTCATTAAACTAGAATAAAGGTCATCTACATAAAACTAACAATATAATACATGAGGTAAACAATAGTCTGTGTGGCTAAGAAAAGTTTTGGAAAATACATTTTTTTTTGTCTTTCAAAATAGATGCATGTAACATTTTGGGATGTTGAGTTATCAATAGTCAGCAGAAGTATGGTATTTGTTATAGAACTACTTAGGTACAATATTAAATATAACCTTGATCGTAATAATTAGTTTGATTAAAGGAATATAAACCAATGACACATAATTGATTTTTTTCAGTCTTCTATCTTTCCCATTAGAAATTTAGCTTTTATTTTGAAAGTTATATCTGTTTTATTTTCTTCCTATATTCTATAGATGTATTCGACATAAAAATGATTGGGGAGCTCTTATTTTAGTGGATGACCGCTTCAGGAGTAACCCAAATCGATATATATCTGGTAAGATTCTCTGCTTGGCTTAGAGTAATGAATTAATAACAATCTTTAATTACTTCTCTTTTTAAAGATAATGAATTAGAGAATTTTTAAGTTAAATTTATTGGTTAATAAAATTATATAGGTTTTAGGTGCACAATTCTATGATATATCATCTGTGTATTGCATTGTGAGAATTTGAACATTTAGATAAAACATGGAAAATCAATATTGAAAGGAATTCTAGCCTTTTAGTGCTTATGTTGTTTGCAAAAACAAAACAAAACAAAAAACAGTCTTTATAGAGGAGAATCTGGTTAGTTGTCAACAAAGTATTAATCAATTAGAATTCTTCAATTTCTTAGAACATGGGATTTGAGTCAGTAACACTAATAATTTATTTAGCATTGTTAGGGGGAAAGCTGTTCTACAGAAATGACTTTTCTAAGAAATATTAAATTTTATATTTAAGCACATCTTTTGCTGCTTAGCATTCTTTATTTCATTCTGAGTTATGTTGAGGTTTGTTGTGTTTATTTGTTGACTTGCTTGTTCAGAAATGCTTCAGTTATTACAGAGTTTATGTTAATCAGAGCTCATATTTTCTAAAAGGAAAAACACTATTGCATGCCACAAAATTAAACAGTCTTCTCCCCCCATTCAGATGAACAAATACTAGTATTATGTCTCTATTCAGGTGGCCCCTGACTTTCATTGGTGTGACTTAGGGTTTTTCTACTTTACAATTGTACAAAAGGTATACACTTTGAATAGAAACCATGCTTTGAATTTTGAATTTTGAACTTTTCCTGGGATAGTGATGTGTGGTAGGATACTCTCTACTGATGCTGGGCATTATCAAATAGGTTTTAAATTAGATAATTTTGAGCAACTGTAGGCTAATGTAAGAGTTCTGAGCACATTTAAGGTAAACTAAGTTAAGCTATGACATTTGGTAGGTTAGGTATTTTAAATGCACTTTTAAAAAAAAAATATATATATATATTTTATTGATTTTTTTTCAGAGAGGAAGGGAGAGAGAGAGAGTTAGAAACATCGGTGAGAGAGAGTCATCGATCAGCTGCCTCCTGCACACCCCCCACTGGGGATATGCCCGCAACCAAGGTACATGCCCTTGACCGGGACCCTTCAGTCCCCAAGCCGACGCTCCATCCATTGAGCCAAACCGGTTTCGGCCTTAAATGCACTTTTGACATACAATATTTTCAACTTACAGTGCGTTTATTGCTTCAAGCAATGCTGTGACTCGGATTCAAACCGAGGTTGTTGCGGCCACAACGCAGAGTACTAACCACTATACGATCACAGCGAGCTACTGGGGATCTTACAGTGGGTTTATTAAGATGTAACTCCATCATGAGTTGATGAACATCTGTAGTCTTTATTTTGCAGTAACACAATCCCGTTAGAGGCAATACCAGGAACCCATCAGTTATTGAAGAAATGTTGGAAATATTTGCACCTTTATTATTATCTTTAATGCTAGAAAGTTCATACTATACTATAATGAAAAGTTGCTGAATTTTAAATTTCAGATTAGCTTTCTATGAGTATAGATTATACTTTTTCCATTTCAGAGCCTAATTACTATATTTGGTTTGATATCAAAACATATCCATCTTGGATGGATTAAAGCAGCAAATTTTGCTTTATTAGTCTTGCTTTTGAATGTAAAGCAAACCATTGTGCTTAGGTCAAGATATAACTAAAAGCAAAATGTTAAGTGCTTATGTTTAGTCAGCAGGTGGAGCTCAGATTCTTTCAAGTTTCAAAAGTAAACTGACATTTTACACTGCAAAGGCTTACTTTGATTACAAAATGATCAAGGAATAGGTAACTATAGTACTAAAATTTCTCAATTTTGGAAAATTTCATATTTATTAGGTTGTGTAATTATTTTCTCCTAGCAACCAAAAAAAGAAGTTTAAAGGAAATTCTTAATTTTTTTATTTTAAAATCTAGTACTTAAACTTTTACCTTATAGTTCAGATTTGTTGAGATTTTTTAAAATTAAATATATTTTGTTTATTTCTGTATGGTTTTAATTAATTTTTTTGAGACTGAAATTTTTTCTTATCTGGGCAATAGCACAAAATACAAATTTCTTTTGATGACTGATATCCTTTTAAATTCAATTTTTATAGGTAAGACTGATATAAAAACTCCATTAAAAAACAAATAAGGAATGTATTTGAAATCATTTGTATTTAAAGGAAATACAATGGGTTCCAATGGGTTCTTTCTTTAAAAGTGCACAACTGTGCATTTTTTATTTTTTATATTTTTTATTTTTAAAATATTTTTTATTTTTAAAATATATTTTATTGATTTTTAATATATTTTTTATATTTTTATTTTTTATTTTTAAAATATATTTTATTGATTTTTTTACAGAGAGGAAGGGAGAGAGAGAGAGCTAGAAATGTCGATGAGAGAGAAACATTGACCAGCTGCCTCTTGCACACCCCCTACTGGGGATGTGCCCACAACCAATGCACATGCCCCTGACCGGAATCGAACCTGAGACCCCTTAGTCTGCAGACCGACGCTCTACCGCTGAGCCAAACCGACTTCGGCTATTTTTAAAATATTTTTTATTGATTTTTAGAGAGAGGGGAAGGAAGAGGGAGAGAGGAATCAAGTCTGCAACCTGGGAATGTGCCCTAACTAGGAATTGAACTGGCAACCTTTGGGTGCCCAGGACAATACCCAACCGAGACACATAAGTCATGGCCACAGTGACTTTTTAAATTACTTCAAAAGGTGATGATAATTTTAGTAATATTAGTAGACAACTTTATTTCTTAAAAGTTTGAATATCTGATTTTGAATTTCATTCTGAAGTGAGTCTTACTTTAAAGCCCCATAGATTAAAATTTATGGTTCATTTTTATGCAGTTTTCATATGTCCTAGATAAAAATTTTGTCCCTTACAACTCCCATTATTTGAATATTTTAAAAATAATGTAATATTTAGATAGGACATGATTTATCCATAAAACAGTGTTATTCCTTTTGGCCCCCAGAGTAGTTTAATGCATATTTGGAATTGGGGGGGGGGGAGGAACAAAAAAACCCTATGAGACTGAAATATTGAATTTATTTTTGCAAAAGGAGTGAAATTTAGAAAGTAGGCATGCAAAATTGTGTTGTTTACAACTTCTAGTTTCCCTATAATGAAAAGGCAGTCAATTTTTGTGGGGAATTGTGAAATTAATTTGCTTTACTTGTGAGTTATTCTAAATTAGTAGTCAGCAAACTCATTAGTCAACAGAGTGACAAACCGTGGTTCACGAGCCGCAGTTCACGACCACTGTTCTAAACTGACAAAAGTTCTGCTCCTCCCTCACTTTACTCCCATTGCCTCTTTTCTCTCTCCAGTTGCATATAAAGAGAAATGTTACTGATATATGAGCATATTGTACATATGAAGGTAAAAAGGCAGGAAGAGTATTGAGAACCATTCTACCGTGTTTCCCCGAAAATAAGACATCCTCCGAAAATAAGACCTAGTGCATGGAAAGATAAGACATCCCCTGAAAATAAGGCCTAGCGCAACTTTGGGAGAAAAAATTAATATAAGACACTCTCATTTTCGGGGAAACGGTATTTACTCTAATTTCTAAATAACTTCATTAGAAAAATTATCCAAGTTTTTCTTAATACATAATGTCATCATAACCAAATATCATAAATAATATAAAATAACCGAAGTTTCTTCCCTGGGTTTCCTTTTTCCTTAGGACTTTCTAAATGGGTACGGCAGCAGGTTCAGCACCATTCAACCTTTGAAAGTGCCCTGGATTCTTTGGCTGAATTTTCCAAAAAGCACGGAAAGCTCATTGATGTATCCAAAGAGGACAGAAAGTCTCTACAGGACAGGCAGTGTACACATGAAGTGGCTTGTTTGAAGGACAATACCTCACCTTACTTTTTAGAAGCAGCAAATCCTCTATTATCAGAAAATCCTAGGGAAGGTAAGGAAAAAATGTGTGTCTAAGAATTAAAATGTTGTAAAATGAATAAAAGTTCATCTCTCCCAAGTGACACCACCTCCAGGAAGGACAAATGTATGAAAAGCTTTGTCCATTTTCATTTGATAGAAAAGTCTTCCGTTATATATGGAGTGATATTTTTGTGTTATAGATTAATGTCCTTAAATACTTTGGTTTGTAATGTAAAGTATTGTCATAAATTAGTGAAGTAGTATAGTATATTGCAATGGGAACAAACTTTGGTCAGAAGAGCTGAGCACATTTTCTAATTTTTCATTAACAAACTTTGCTACTTCTCCTGGCTGGCATGACTCAGTGGTTGAGTGTTGACTTATAAACCAGGAGGTCATGGTTCGATTCCTCAATGTGGGGCCTGCAGGAGGCAGCCGATCAATGATTCTCTCTGATCATTGATGGTTCTATCTCTCTCTCTCTCCCTTTCCTTTTCTCTCTCAAATCAATAATAAAAAATATATTAAAAAACAACAACAACAACAACTTTGCTACTAACTAGCTTTGTGATGAGGAGCAAGTCACTTAACCTTTTTTGAGTCTTAATTGAAAAAGGATTATCTGCATACCTATCCCTCAAAGCTGTGTTGTAAAGATTTAATAACCTGATAAATATTACAGCATTATTAAGTACTATGCAAATGCTAGATGTTTTTCTAAAGGTTATATTGAAAATTGGTCTCACTTATAGATCTTTTTTCTTACATAAATTTCTTAGTTTAGGGAAATAAAGTCATGTATTCTAAATGATAAAAAACAATATTTCAAAATATATTAGAATATAATGGTCAATATCAGGGATTGGCAAACTATGGCCTCTGGGCCAAATTTGGCCTGCTATGTATTTTTTTTTTTTAATGTATATTTTATTGACTTTTTACAGAGAGGATGGGAGAGGGATAGAGAGTTAGAAACATCGATGAGAGAGTCATCTATTAGCTGCCTCTTGCACAACCCCTACTGGGGATGTGCCCGCAACCAAGGTACATGCCCTTGACCGGAATCGAACCCGGGATCTTTCAGTCCGCAGGCCGACGCTCTATCCACTGAGCCAAACCGGTTTCGGCTGCTATGTATTTTTTTAAAATATAGTTTAATGGAACGCTGTCACATCCATTCATTTACATATTATATACAAAAGTGGAGTTGAGTAATTGTACTTAATACACCAGAACAGCACAATTGAGTAGTTGTGACAAATACAATAAAACCCGCAAAACCAAAAAAATTTACTGTCCGGCTTGTGATAGAAAAAGTTTGCCAAACTGTGGATATATTATTGGTATTATTTCAATTGTTTTAATGAATATATGATAGTTTAATATATCAATTTTTAAATATTTATTTTATAATATCTGCTTCTATCCATATACATAAAAACGTAAGCGACCATTACAACCAGACAACCGGGCTACCAGCTGGTAGCTATGATGCACACTGATCACCAGGGGGCAGAAGCTCAATGCATGAGCTGCCCCCTGGTGGCCATTGTGCTCCTACAGCCAACTTCCCATGACCAGCCAACCTTCCACAGTCCCTACCCCCGGCCAACCTTGCCATTCAGGCCAAGGGACCCCATCCGTGCACGAATTCATGCACCGGACCTCTAGTATACAATAAATGCCACAGTGAATTCAAGGCCATTATATTAGTAATCAGGAAGCCTTGGTTCTAGTTCAGGTCTGAGTACTAACCAGTTTTATATCTTAGTCTAGGGAGGGTCAATTTCCTTAAGGGAACTAGTCTAAGTCAGTAACTAGTTAGTGGATTTAAGAAGTAAGTTATTACAGCCTGTTCCCTCCTTTATTCAGCCCTCTTCCCCTTTTTACCCTTTTTCTCATTCACTCCTGAGGTTCCTGGTGTGGGATTTGAAAGTTTACCATACAGCATTGTAACTTGGGTTAGGACTCACTGGAAACATGGTTTCTTTTCAGAGTTAATGTTTTGTGCTTTACATTCCAAGATGGAAATCCTGCTACTGGTTGTGGGTTCAGGATTTTATCTCCTTTACAGTTATTGTAGTATTTCTAACAAAAATCATTTTGATAAAACTATTATTATGCATGGAACAGAAAGTTAACATTTTTACATTTTTGTACTCATAGATGTTCCAGGATTATTGGAAGAGTCTGGCCAGGCAATGGAAGCAGAAAACATTGGGATTTCCAGATCCGCAAGCCCAACCTTCAACAAACAAGCAAATAGAGTTAGCTGGTCTAGTTCTAATTCTTTGGGGCAGTGTTTTTCTGGTAAAATTCTGACTACAACACCTAAGTTTAGGTCATCAGAGGACTGTGCCTCTAGTTCTTCCACTTTCAAAACAGAAAAGGATTGTGAAACTGTTTTGCCACTCACTGATAAATTTGAATCTTCATCTCTAAAAGTAAACACATCATTTGAACCATGCTCTCAGTCAGAAACTATTATTCCATCAGTAAAGATTGAGGCTGCTCTTAAAAAAGATCATTCCGAACAGCTACTCTGCTCTAAAGAAGCCCTGGATCCAGACATTGAATTATCTCTAGTGAGTGAAGAAGATAAACTTTCTACTTCAAATAGAGATTTTGAAACAGAAGCAGAAGATGAATCTATCTATTTTACCCCTGAACTTTATGATCCTGTAGATAAAAATAAAGAAAAAAATGAACTAGTTGAAACTGATAGAGACAATAGATTGGCCAATGATTCAAATTGTATTTTAGCTGAAGATCTTTTTGAAACTAGGACTACAACAGAAGTAGATTCAGTCAGGAAAATGAAAGTTGAGGATTGCTCAGACACAAAGTTAAATAGACTTATGCATATTGAAGAAAGTAAAGATGATATTGATAATAATATAAAAACAACTCATATAAATGAATTAGAACTGGAGAAAACTCATGAAATGGATATAAAGGACTTTAAACAGTCTCCTCCCAAAAATAAAGGTGTGTTCCCAGGTGTTAGATAATAATACTTAACTGTCAAGCTATAAAAATATATTGTACTTATATTAAACTTTATTATAAATGATAACATACATTAGCTAGGTATAATTTTTTAAAATTTGAGATATATTTTTTCCTTTAATTGCCATAAGAGTTTTAAAAGTATATTAAGTTCTTAAATATTTGTTTTACTATTCTTGAGTTTTGATAAAATGATTCATTCAAAATTATTTTCTTTCAACAATCTTCCTTGGCTAAGTGCAATTCAGAATCAATTAACCTAAAAGATATATAGTTGTCTAGGGCATTTTAAATTTTACATAAACATTTATATATATAGTAGTACTTCATCCTTTGTTTTCATCTGATACATAAAAATTAACAACAGTGTAAAACAATAATATTTTATTATAGATTTTACCTCAGATTGGTCTGACATTTCTTTTAGAAATCAGTTTTCTTAAAAAATGTATTCCTGTATTAAACTGCCTAATAATAATTAAGAATTAAGGAAGAAAACTGCATGCATTTTAAATTGATGTTGTCTTACATTTGTTTGTTTGTTTGATAAAGTAAAATCAAGCATGTTTTAAGCAAGCTTATGTAAAGTTATAAAATGCCAAATGAAGGACGCCAAATTTTCAGTTCTGATTATTTACTTTTATTATTATTGGGAGGATAAGTGACATGTTTTAGCATAAAGGCTTTAATTTTGCAACTATTAAGGTAAAAAACTTCATATGTAAATTTGATAAGTAAGTGTAAACATGTAACTGTAGCTTAAAAATGTTCCCTTAGAGCTCAATAAGTCTGTAAGTTTTGACTTTAGGTTTTTGTGAATGGAGCTATACTTCTTATCAAAAATGGTTATAAAAGATGCTCTTCTCTAACATCATTCCAAAATTACATTCACTGATCTTTTTCTAAGAAATATCTATTGCTTTATGGACATTAAGTCTTCTTGTGAGTGATTTGAATTGAAATTTTACGACCTGTTGAAGTTGTGGAAGTAGTTTATTATTTTCAAGTCAATTCCCAGCAATCAAGTTTATTTTATATTTATTTGGATGATAAATTATTACATATTCATGTGCTTACTTTTATTTTGATGGCATTTAGATTGAATACAGCTTAACTGTTTGGACGCCATAACTCTTAAGCATAGTTCAAATTGATAATTTGCCAGTTAAAGCATTCATCTAGAGACTGGGATGTATTATATCCCACCTAGTATTAGATGTTTTTTTATTGATCATTGAGTAATAAGTTACATAGCATTAGATTAGAAGGGAATTTCTAAATTGTTTTGAAAGTGTATAACCATTTCTCCTCTCTGGTATATTTTTAAATTTGCAGATAAGGGTAGTGGAGTAGTAGAAAGAATACCAGGTGAAGGAAGAAAAGAGATTTGGGCTCTATTCCTGGTTCTCCCACTAATTAGCTTAGTCATATTGTCAATTACTATGCCTTTTCGGAAGTGTTTTAACTGTGAAATGCAGGATTTAATACTATAAAATCATGTAAATCTGAGCTTTAAAATTCTGTAATTTAAAGGAATATATATATTATTTTATTCTAAATTATTTTTCAATTGCTTTTGTTTTAAAATGAATGAAGTTAAGCAAACCATTTTATAGAGTAGGGGAAATGCCACTCATCTACCTTTAAGGGAATAATTTTATGAGTATGTACATAATAACTTGAGAAGCATTATTAAAATAAGTATACTAAAACATTGCCTTTAGAAAAATTGGAAAACTACATGAGAAAAACCAAGCACATTATATTTTAGTTGTATCTTAGTGTTATTATCCAAGTTGATCTCAAATACCACCCTTTTTCCCTAATATTTATTCCTCCCAAACTGTCTAAAGCTAAAAAGTTCTTTATTTGGAGTATGTAGAGATGTGCCACAGCTTTTAGTAATTCCAAGAGGTGTTTCAAAAATTTTCTATAATGATGTCAATTTTGAATCAGTCTCCTTAGATTATAATTTTGACTAAGTGGATGTTGCAAAAGTATTAGCCTTTATAATACAGTAGTCATAGCACATTTTCATTAACGATTACGTACTTTTTAAAGAGATGTTTTAGAGAATTGAATACATTAAAATATGTAAAAGCATTTAAAAGAGTACTTGGCATATGGCAAACTATCAGTTATTAGTAAATCAATCATATATCTGGAGATGATGATGATGAAGATAGTAGATAGATAGATGATAGATAGATAGATAGATGATAGATAGATAGATAGATAGATAGACAGACCAACAATAAAGAATCATTATATATGATGGCCAGAGGGATGAGGGGTCAGGTGCTGGTGGAGGTGGGCAAAGGGGGAATGGGGATATCTGTAATATTAGGTCTAGTAATAATTAATGTCGTTTTCTAATACTTTTTAAAATCGAATTTATTTAAAGCTCTTGTTGGGTAATTTGAGGATTTTGCACCAAAAGAGCTTGAAGACCTTCTTGATCAAAATTGGACACACAGCCTCGACCACTCTTGTCATCTAACGAAAAATTTCCCTCGCGAAATTTCTCAAACCAACGCTGGCATTTTCTGGCGCTAACTGCATCTTGACCAAGAGCACTACAGATGTTTTTTGTAGCCTCACTTGCTTTTCTTCCTAATTGGAACTCGTAAAGCATGCAGTGCCGAATATGCTCTTCATCCGCCATCTTCTTAGCCCTAGTTTTGCAACAAAAACCAAACCAAACACAAACTTTTTCAAGCAAAACTTGTTAATTGCACTTCACACGTTCTGTAGATACCACGTGTTTGAAGGTTATGTCAATACAAGTCAACGCCAAGCAAGATTTTAAACGAATGTTTAAAAACGACATTATTACTAGACCCAATACTGTCAATAATAAAAAATAATAAAAAAAATTGTTATATGGTTAGAAGGAAAATTATTTGGTTTATTCTTTAGGACTTTGAGATATTTAAGATAGAAATTGCTTATCAGGTAGTTTGCCTTACCCATTTGATGCATATGAAATAATTATGTAATACTGAATTTATTCAAGGGCTGAAAGTTTATAGAACATACAGGCCACGAACCAGGAAAACTACCAGTTGGAGAAAGGGCTTTATTCATGGAAGAAAGGTACAATATAAAGAGTAGATGTTTCCAGTCTTGACTATTGAAATTTAAAACTTGTTATAGCTTTGTTGGAAATTAATGACAGCTCTTACTCTGCTACTACTATGCATTTAATTATTACATGATTTTTAATTTAACACTGTTTCAAAGTTCACACAAGGCTTTGTTTTTAGTCTTCCTTATGATCTTTAAGACATTGATTTTTTAAAAGGCTTTCCCATATTATTTTTCTGCAATATGACTATGTCATGTTATTTTCCTATGGTAAAACACATTCAAAATATTTCATTCTTTAGGATTGCTTATAAAATTTCACAAAATCAAAGTGCCTGATGTAAAATTATGTGAAAGACTGGTTATTGTAGTCATTTAATATCAGTGATGTCATTTTTTGGGGTATATAATTACCTAACAATTACTTTTACTTGTGCTCTTTTTAATGTTTATTAATGAGCTAAACAAGATTCTACTTTAACCTTTATGAATTCTTGGTAGTTTTTTGTCTGTGTTTATAAAAAAATGCAGTCAGTCTTTTATAAATAGAAAGCTATTATTAATATTAAAATTTTAATAACAAAAAGTAAACTTAAGACTGTATCAGACAACAAGTGTCTAAGGAAGCTAAAACCATAACATGAAGTATCTGTGCAGCTGTTAACATACAAAAAGAACATCTCTTCAGGGAATGGAAATGTAGACAGATGACCTGAGTTTATTAATTCTCTAGCCTTAAACGATTTTCATGCCTACCAAAAAAAAGAAAAAAGAATTTTGTTTCTTAAGCTTGATAGAACGAACCATTAGCTGCTTGGCTTCCTGCACTCTACAATGGAGCCTTGTTATAATATCCAGAGGATCTGAGCCAGTGGATCACCTTATTGGTGAAACCTCCTAAGAATGAAGTGCTTTCAGTAACTAAACTCTTGGACTAGGTCCAAAACAGCCCATCTTATACCAAATTCCACTCTATAATGAACGAGCTTCAATGTATTAGAAGGAATACAAAAACTGTATGAAACTTAACTATTTTCAGAAATTAACCTTTGAAAATCTAAGGGTAAGTACTGATTAAAAGAAATATTTATTAACAAGGCATAGTCATGTAGACATCTTATTCTTCATAATAGATTTGTATTTTTTAAATCTTGGTCTTTTCTAAGCAGTTTCTATGATTTTTATGCTCATGCTTTCCCCCAAAATTTCATCATTTTACATTAAATTATTTTATACCAGTATTTACAAAGTTCAATATTAAAATGTTTCATTTGGCCTCTTGTTAGTATAAAGTATGAGATTATATAATTGGAATATCATTTATGCAAACTAAGTTAGATGCCATCATTTATATATGATTCATAGTTGTTGAAAAGATTTAAGGATAGTCGATACTGATAGTTATTATTTTGTATCAAGTTTTGCCTAGGTATATTTTCTCTTTTATTTTCAAACTGCCTTGTGGTATTCATACTTTAATATTAACCATTCTTTCAAACATTGATCTCTCTTATGTGTTGTAAAAGGACCCAAGTAACCTGCCTTGCCAGTCAGGACTTTATTGTATTATTTGTGGAAGTGAACTATTACCTAAAGCAGAAGGAGGTAGGAAATATAAAAATTACTTTGTATCATCCTTAGTATAGGATCACCTAAACTGCAATAAAGTAGATTGGTTTATTAATATTTTCATATTTTAGTCTTTAAAGTTGATTGTTGATATACATGGAGTTTATCATTAGACTTGGAAATGTTCCAAGTCCACCTGCTGACTTACTTTGGGCAAGTTACTTAATTTTTTGGAATTTCTGTTTTCTCATTTTAAAATGGAGATAAATAATTTCATAAGAAATAAATTAAACTTTATGAATACCAATGCAGTAGAGTACATTAAAGCTTTTTTAAACATCAGGCAAAGAGAAAGATAACAGAATTGGGAGTCAAAGGAATGAGTGTCAGCTTTGGCCCTACTCTTTACAGAGTGGCCTTGGTCATAGTATTTTACCTTATTGAACTTTAGCTTTATTTTCTAGTGGGGAAAAGGTGAGCACTACCTACTTAAGAAAATTATTGTGAGGATTAAATGAGATGATATGCAATATGTGAAAGTGCTCTATAAATTCTGAAGCACTGTCCAAATGGTAGTTGTTAGGGAACTAAAACAATAATCTACAATAATTGTTATCTCAGCATTGCACCTTCAAATTTGGCAGAAAAACACTTAGGAAACACTTGGGAAAGTTCTATGTAGTTATTCTTTTACTAGCAAGACTTAAGTATTGTGAAGACTTATTTTCTGTTTGGTTTTTTACATTTCATTTTTGTATGTTAAAATATATATGCATTGAAAAAAAAAACTCCACACACAAAATGTTGCCAAAGGAATACTGAAGTCCGTTGAGAACATTCTATGTAAAATCCATAGGGCAGATCAGGGATTTTGGGGGGGGCTTTGGGGGGTGTCTTTGTTGTTTACTCTGATACTCCCAACACTATATTAACTGACTATGACTAAATACATTGAATAGAGCATTCTATAAATGTATTGACTGTGTCACGACTTTGTCATATGATACTTGGCTTTTGTAAATACCTTTTTCATTTGACCAGTTTCTAGACTCTAGTGACCTTTCTTTTTCCAAAAGGAAAGGAGACGCAGAAAGAGAAAGATGACGTGAGATGTTTCTTTCTGTCTGCCTTGACTGGGGATGGAACCCGCAACCTTTAGGGGTTTGGGTTGATTTGCCAACCAACTGAGCCACAAGGCCAGGACAATTTTCTTTAAGTTTTTACAGAAAAAGAAATACTTAGAATTTTAAAATATATTCTTGAGGAAATTCAGGATATGCTATTTTTTCCTGGTGTTACCATTTTCTGATCTTTTAGCCTCTCTACTCTGGATCCTTTACTTATAAAGGAAGCAAAGCAAAGCAAGAACATCTGTGGTGCTTTAGAGTGTGCCATGTAGTGTATTATAGAGCTTTCAAAGTCAACAATACAGATGGCAGGTGAGAATTCTACCACTGAACTACCATACACATGTAATACCTTAATTTAAAAAAAAAAAAAAAAGGAAAAAAACCAAGAAAAAAAAAAAGAATACAGGTGGTATTCTTATTTTACAAATGAGGGAAAGGGAACATTATAATGAGAAGTCAATCAAGGTCATGGAACTCTACCAGTTGATATATTTTTGTACATTTATATTCTTTTTAGTTTACCTTTGTTTGCTAGAATCTCTTTATGAAAGGCATAGTCTTAGAATTCTGAAAGCAAGCCTCATTCTCTTATATTTTTTCCATAGGCGTACTTTCCAGAATCATAGTAGCTAGATATATATAAAAACCTAAGCGACTGTTATAACCTACCAGCACGACTTGTTGACCAGTCACTATGACATGCACTGACCACCAGGGGCAGGTGCTTAGTGCAGGAGTTTCCCCCTGGTGGTCAGTTCGCTCCCACAGGGGAAACACTGCTCAGCCGGAAGCTGGGCTCACGGCTGGTGAGTGTAGCAGTGGTGGCCGGAGTCTCTCCAGACTGCACAGGCAGCGCTGCTGGTCAGTGGCAGCAGGTGCAGTGGCTGGAATAAGTGCGAGTGGCGTGGCGGTGGGTTGGGCTCCTCCTTGGCCAGCTGCCGCTTGGTGCACTGCTACATTCCCTGAGGGGGTCCCAGATTTCAAGAGGGCGCATGCCAGGCTGAGCCCTTCCCCACCTTCCACCTGTACTAACTCGTGCACCAGGCCTCTAGTTTTTATATTAAACAAAAATATATTAACATTTATTGAGGAATATAAAAAACAGTCCTAGAACATAATATAATGCTTCACACATAGTAGGTGCTTAGTAAATTTTTAAAAAATATTTTAGTTTTTTACAGAGGAAGGGAGAGAGATAGAGAGTTAGGAACATCGATGAGAGAGACATCCATCAGCTGCCTCTGCACACCCCCTACTGGGGATGTGCCTGCAACCAAGGTACATGCCCTTGACCGGAATCGGACTTGAGACCCTTCAGTCCGCAGGCTGACGCTCTATCCACTGAGCCAAACCGGTTAGTGTGTTAGTAAATATTTTTTTATGAGAAATATTTTAGTATTTTAGAGTAGGCCAGAAGTTTAGAAATCATCTACCCCTCATATTAAACATGAGGTAACTGATTTCCAGAGAGATTTAGTACTCAGATCATGGTAATTGATAGCAACAAACCGCACTTCATTTTTAATGTAGTTTAGTTCATATTAAATTGATTTCTTAAGGCATTCTTAGAGAAGAGTATAATTTTAGATAACCAAGAAATTAACACATTAAGATACTGATTAAAAAGCCAACTCAATTATATTCTTTGTACTGTAACTGCATCCAACTATAGAGTTTATTATGAGAAATGGTTAGAGTTTATTATGAGAAGTGGTATCTGTTGGTGTTAATAGGTTTTAATGACAATATATTTACTTGTTTTAATGCTTCCACCAAGTGTAATAATTTTCCATTGAGTTGTCTTCTGAATAATGAACATTTTAATAAATTACAGCAACCAGCAGTATATTTATAGAAAATTAATATAATTGCTAGTGTGATATACTTTCCTTAAATCTCTTTCACCTTATTTCTTATAGGAGTTTTTAAAAAAGTTTTTTCCAAGAATGCTGTGCTGATAAAAATCCAAAGAATCTTTCTAAATGTTAAATTAAATTGCACAGAATCTCTTTGCCATTGCTTAACTGAGTCCAAGAACAGTTCAAAAGAAGAAAATTCATTTTATGTAACCAGGGACAGTGCTGCCCTTAACCATTTAAAAACCACATTAGTGGTTTTTCAGACTTCAGTAAAGAATGAAGGTAAACTTATTTAATAGCTATATTGCTTTCTTATCACTTTCTAAACCCCTTAAATGTAAATAGGGGACCTTTTTATTTTCATGTGAATTCTCAAATGAAAAGCAATTTTAAAAATTGCTCTTTAAAATATGTACCACTGACTTAAGAATTGCAAAGAAAGAAAAATAAAACAGAATCTCAAATTTTGTTCAAAACAAAGAAATGTGTAAATAAGAAAAGTCACATCAGGACAGATGAGACATTGATCTATCTGTGTCTGATACCTATTCCAAAAAGGAAAAAAACAAAACCAATTTACATGGCACACAAATCCAGGTCCAGTGCGTGCTTTGGCAGGCTTGACCTAGGTAAAGGATGGGCAGGAGCTTATGGGAGCAATCACATGGTAGAAGCAATTGGGCTCCACCAGCTGTTTCTAAAAAACAATGGGATAGATGCTTAGAGACAAACAACTCATAAACGCAAGTATTTTTACCTTTGCATAAATATCTCAGGCTGCCCTGCCTTGTACAATTTCCCAGCTATTTTCAAGTCTGCTCATCATGTTTATTTTTATTCTGCCAATACCTGTTTCTAATGTTGGGTAGAAAGGACTAGGCCAAACACTACTGTTCTTTATCCCAGCCCTACACTCTCCTAGAAATAAGTTCTTCCACTCTTCCTAGGGACAAGGCGAGGCATATTACTTCTGTTCCAAAATGCTGACTTCAGATAACCCAGACACCTATTATTTACCATTTTCAACATCAGTGGGTTCATCTAAACCCTTTTCTTCCCATTTAAAATCCGAGGGCAACAAGCTCTATGATAATATACATTCATTCAATACTAAGTATAAAAGGCCCTAAAAATAAAACTTGGGATTTCTTTTTGTTGCTACCCGTTCAAAGGTGGACCATTCAGGATAAGTCTGAATGTTTACTTTGGTTACAAATGTCTGCAGAAACATATGGTCAGATCATATGTTTCTAATAATGTTCGCGTCAGTACTTTGCAGCTTTGACCAATTTCAATATTTTCTCTGGAATTGGAAATTCTTTCTTGTGGGAATGTATTCATTTATCAAAAAAAAAATGAATATGTGGTTGTTAAAATTTCTTGGCTTAGTGCAGTGTGGGAGATTGTAAGAAGGTTTTGAGAATTACAACTTTGCATAGATTCATAGTCATCTTTTACACAAATTCTTCCCATTTCAACTGCATACATTTAAGCTTGAAGTGAAAAGCTATGTTGTTAATTTTTTTCTGTGCTGCATCATCCAACATCTCATTCTGAGTTTCCAGCCCTTTTTTTTAGTGACTTCCAGGCACAAATAAAATTCAATCACAAGAGAGGTTGGGGAGTGCAGTGTGCAAGAGAGGTTCTCTCTTGGTCTCTTGTCTCTTCTCTGCCATAACTGTACACCTTTGTCGTGTAGTACCATTAATTCCTACAGAAAGTAGCAAGTGCTCATTCAACACCTGGAACTCTCATTTCCTCCACAAGAGTTGCAGTTTACTCACTTTATACCAAAGGCAGGCCAGCACAGAAGGTTATCCTTGCAAATTTGAGATTTGTTTGGTGGATTGTTCAACTAAAGAATATGGAGAAACTTTTTGTCCCGAAACCAGATATATGATAGTGATATCTATTATTGTTATGAATGTACTGTAAAAGGTATGCTACTCCTGCAGATGTATTACCAGGTCAAAGCTTGAGCAAAATTACTTTGCTATTTTAATTGTGGGAAATTACATTCTCATAGACTTGTATGATAAACAAATTTTTGTTTTAAACTTACTGGTGTTAAATTTATGAAAAGTCTCATTTCACAATTAATGTAGAACAATTTTCTGATTATAGAATATGGAGATTTATAAGGTTCTCAATTATACATATGGTTGTGTATTTTTTTAAACAAAGGATTACATTTTTCTCTTGAAAACAATTTTGATTCTGAGGAAGGCACCAAGCCAAAGGGACTGAAGCATGAGTTTTGGATTTGGACATTTTAAATCACAGCCTACTGCTTTCTGACTTTAATTTATACTCCCTGAAACTGTTTTCTCACCCATAAAATGAGGACAATAATAATTACCTCACAGCATTGCTGTGAAAATAAAATAATTTATATAATAGGCATTAATAAATGTAAGCTATTACTCTTTTTTAAACTTATTTTCTGTACTCTTCTATGTTAGACTAAAGATTGTAAAAATTAAATATGTTAAAGTAATGGTTTTCAAAAATATTACCCAAGCTTAGCATCCACTCCACTTTCTGTTAGACCTTTATAAGCGAAATTGAGATGTTGAATCTGGTAGTTCAGGGTTTATGAAAGGCCTTTTTTAATTTTTTGTAGGCATGGAGACAGGTTTATCTTTAAATGCCATCTGGAATACGAAAGAATGTTCTTTAACCAGCTACTTACAGTGTAGAAATTGTATCAACCAGTCTCTACTCCCATGTCCTTTAATTGGTGCTGAAATAAGTGACCCTAGAAATATTGCTGAATCAAGGGTAAGTTTATGTATATTTGTTTTTGAAACTTAATGTGAAGCTTGCTTATGCATAACTATACTTGTTATGATGAAGATATACAAAGTATTGCTATGCTGCACATAAATATATTAATAAGGCCCATTCTCTCTTTTAATAAAAATTATAAATTATGATATACTATTAAAGATGAACTATTCCTAAATATTGTGCTTTAGTAAATTGGGCATTAAAGCCAAAGTAAAAACCACTTGGTGTGGTTGCATAGCAAAATTAGATACATTAAGTTTCCAAATTGCAGTGAATTACACTTTAAAAACTTGCACTGTTATTTTGTCTTACCTCCTTGTGTGTTTTTTAATCTGCTCATTTAAGCCTAATCAGGATTAAATATACATTGGAGACATGACCCAAAGATTAGCCTCATAAAATAAGGATCGGATTTCCACTAAATGTAAGCTGCTAGTGCACATCCCTAAACCTAGTAGATTCAAAGTTATCCTAATGATGCAAAACAATTAGGTTGTAAATATAATTTCACCAGAGTATTGAAGTACTTTCAGTAAATATGTTCTATGAATAAGACTATGTTCTTAAAGAACTATGAGTTACTTTAAAAAACATCAAATCCCAGGTAAATAAATGTATGTAGTAAGATTTTTTAAAGTGTTTTCTTAGTGTAATATAGTGTGGCAGGTAAGAATGTAAACTCTACAGTGAGACCAGTTGGATATCAAATTCTACTTCTGCCACTTTATTAGCTCCATAACCTAGAGCAAGTTACTTTTCTGTGCTTTCGTTTCCTTTTGTGCAAAACTGGGGAAGTAATAATACCTAACCATTAGGGTTGTTATAAGGATTAAATGAGTTAATTCCTATAAACTACATAAAATACTGCCTAGCATGATGCAAGAACTCATGCAACAATCATGTTGATAATGTTTTATTATTATTATTGATACTATTATAAAAGTCTTTAGTTTTTAAAAAGTACAGGATCATTCATTATCTCAACATTAAATAACGTAAATAGAGATTAGAACATTTATCTCTTAGTATTTAAATTATCTGATGATGGCTAGGCACATGAACAATTGAAACTATAATATTCCTGTTTTAGTATCATGAAATAGTATCATAGTCCCTTAGCAACAAGAACTGCTCTACCGTTGTGGATTTTATAAGGTGAGTTTCAATACACATTCAGAGGAAATGCCATTTATAAGCATACAGTTAATTGAAGGCTCACAGGAAGAGTACTGTTCCTTTGTGGGCTGGCGAATTATGCCTTACAATGAATACTTCTCTGTGGGGAAAAATAGAGCTTGTCTTTCTTCCAAGAAAGGTAAAATTGGCAGTATGGGAACATTGAAAAGCTCTGGCAGGGTTATATATTTTATTTTTTAAAATTTACTCTTCCCAACTGGAAATGTAATAAAAATTTTGAAACAAGGTTTTGTTCCATTGTCTTGCCTGATAAGAAATTTAGAAAGGAGGATAAGATTAACCTTGTTTTGGCTGGGACAGCTGGGAATTAGCTTTAAAATATAACTTTCTCCTTTATAGTTATGCCTATGTCCTATCCATCCATATCCCACACTTTTGCATTTGTTAGGAAATTGTTAGCTGAACATAAGCATCATCTAAGTTACTGAGAGATAACTTACTTTTTCTCTTTTTTTTCCATCGTACCTAACAGCACACCAAAATTCAGATATTACTTTTTACTTGTTTAATATAATGATCCTTTTGAAATAGTGAATTTATTTGAAATCTAAAATCTGATCTGACTGTACATGCAAATTTACTTTGAAAATGAAGGATTAGTTCTGCTGTTTCTAGCTTTATGAAGGTGTTTTTTAATAGCTGTTGTTAGCAATCTTATTGATGAATATTAATAAGATGTTAATATTTTCAAATCAGATACATCATATGTAACTTAATTGTCAGCTTGTGGAGGGTACATTTTTTCATATTTTATAGACACATAGAATAAACAAACTACGTTTTCTCTGATTTATAGTTCTTAACATATCCCCTTTTCCTTCTATAGTATCTTTAAGCACACCTATTAAATATTAGTTTTTTTATATTTTCTATAAATTTTTCCCCCTTGACTTATTTCTCTCATTTATGCCTATTTATAACTCTTCTTCCTGTTTTTGCTTCGTAATATTTATACCAAATTAGGGTTTGCTTATGTGTGTTCCCTAAATGACTGCATCAATACAACTTACATTAATTACATTACTCCCTAAAAATATTTTGTCTGTTATTGAAATCCAAAATATGGAAAACACTTGCATCCTATTTGGCAATTATTTAAAGAGAACATTGTGTTGATCCAAAACAAATCTTCCTCAGTTAAAACAGCACTTCTGCCTAAGAACTAAACATACTGGGATTATTATGTCACTTCCATAATTATATATATAAAAGGCTAAGCGACCATCTGACTGGCTGGTAGATATGATGCACACTGACCACTAGGGGCAGACACTCAATGCAGGAGCTGCGGTGACTTGGCAGCAGCGGTTCTCAGGTGACACACTCTGGAACCAGAGAGGAGGGAGCCCAATTCCTTGCGGGGCCACACCCTAATCTATGGGTTATGTTGTTGTTGGGGCATTGTTGGCCCCGAATCTGGTTTACTGCACACTTGCGTTTGCATTCCGCACTCCGGGGCTCCACAGGGGAAGTTGGGAGAGCTGGTTTTGGCCCAGTCCCTATAGGCCAGGCCAAGGGACCCCACCTGCCAGAGGAACTCCGCTCACTCCACAGACACCTTTTGAGCCTCGGTGCTGCCCCAAGTGCGGCCTGCTGGGAGGGACCATGGGAGGTTGGCTCCAGGGCATGTCTGGCCCACCCCATCTCGCTCAGGCCTGCTCCAGTGGCCACCTTCTAATTAATTTCCTTTCAGTGTGCATGAGTCCATGCACCGGGTCACTAATACATCTATAAAGCATGAAGGAAGAACTAAAAAATCTCAGATTGCATCCTAAGGTTGACAAGAGTAATGATTCAGTAGAGAATTGGTAAAAACTTGTTTTCTTTCACATCTCTCATGATTTAAAAATGAACTTTTAGTTTGGCCAGGTGGCTCAGTTGGTGCTAGCATTATCCTCTACACCAAAAAGTTTCAGGTTCAATTCCCAGTCAGGGCATAGACCTACCTAGATTGTGGGTTCAATCCCTGGGCAGGGCATGTGTGGGAGGCAACTGATCAATGTTTCTCTTTAAAATCAATAATAGCCGAATCCGGTTTGGCTCAGTGGATAGAGCGTCAGCCTGCGGACTGAAGGGTCCTGGGTTCGGTTCTGGTCAGGGGCATGTGCATTGGTTGTGGGCACATCCCCAGTAGGAGGCATGCAGGAGGCAGCTGATTGATGACTCTCTCATCAATGTTTCTAGATCTCTATTCCTCTCCCTTTCTGTAAAAAATCAATAAAATATATTTTAAAAATAAAATAAAATCAATAATAGTAATAATCCTATATAATAAAATCCTAGCGACTGAATGGCGGAATGACCAGAACAATCGGTTGACCAGTTGCTATGACATGCACTAACCATCAGGGAACAGATGCACAATGCAGGAGCTGCCCCCTGGTGGTCAGTGTGTTACCACAATGGGAGCACCGCTCAGGTGACCAGGATGAGTGGCTGCTCCCACTGTGAACCCTGGGCCTATCAGCAGGAATACAGGCTGTGATCATCATCTCCCCGCAGGCTCTTCCTTGGTACTCCCTACCACTTCCTCCAGATGCCTGCAGGCTGTGCAGTGCTGCTGCCAGGCTCACAGAGCTGACCCTGGAGGCTGGGAGAAGGGTTCATGGCCGCTGTGATACTGACGCCTACTCTGGAGCCTCTCATTGCTATTGTCCCTGGTCCCAGCCCCAACCAGGTCCCATAGAGAGATGAGTGCTCCAGCTCCATGGAAGATGAGGGAACAGGGAGCAGCTGCTCAGAGGGTGGGCCCACAGCCACTTGGCTGACTGGGATTAGTGGCGCTCCCACAGCAGGCCAATCCCCACAGGTCATGCTTCCCTCCAGAGCACCGATCCCGTGCACCCGGCTTCTAGTAATAAAACCATCCTTGGGTGAGGATAAAATGCTCTTTTAAAAAGTACACTTTTATTTCAGAGAGGAAGGAAGAGGTAGAGAGAGAAACATCAATGATGAGAGAGTATCATTGATTGGCTGTCTTCTGCATGCCCCACACTGAGCCACAACCCAGGCATATGCCCTAACCAGGAATTGAACTGTGATCTCCTTTTTCATATGTCGATGCTCAACCATTGAGCCACACCAGCTGTGCAAAAATGCTTTTTAATAATTTATTCTTCACTCATTAAAGCTTCAGAAATGTTCTTATGCTTAGAATTTATCTTTTTAAACTTCTAGATTCTTTAGAAGATATCTTGATACTGTTGAGAAACCATTCACACATGTTTACTGATTTTTAGTGAAAAGATTAAGCAATTATATTTTATTATAAATTGATCACCTAAAATTTTCAATAATTATTTAAAATATTTGCCCAATTCAAATGTATTGGCTATTTTCTCCATTGAGTCAGTTTTCTTTGTGTGTTTTATCAGTGAATCAATTTTCTACATGTTATTATGCAAATCTC